ATACATTAGCAAAAGATTTATAAAGTTAAAAAGTCTTACAAAAGATGCAAACTTTAAACTTCAAAAGCATTAGCACACCACTAATCTAAGTCAGACTGTTGTGTTTGGGTAGTAAGAGAAGGGTCAGTAGCAGGAACCGAAGGTTGGAGAGTACTAACACTGAGATACTTTACAGTGTAGCTCGTTGGGCAATCATAGAATGAGTGAGTTTTTCCAAATACCTTGAGATATTCGTGGTTGAGCTTAATGCCAGAACTAGCAGCAGTTGAGCCACTGGGAAATCCTAAGGTAAAACGAAGTCGTTTACAATCGTAAAATAACCGTAGTGACGATGATGATATTAATGTGGAACTGGAACTGAACTAAACCGAATTAAACCGAACGTGTTTTCTAACCCAAACACTACTCGAAGTGTTAACCTTCTCTACCCAGAGAAACCCTAAACGGACGCCAGAAAATCATGCACTGGGAAATTCCACGACTAGGTTTCTCGATCTCGCTTCACTTTTGATCTACTCTCTTCTTGCTCGACTGCTAATTTCGCGATTTTTATAGGTACGTTCGATTCCTTTCTAACGATTGATAATCCAAACTCTCTTTCAACTTCTGTGTGAAGATTGTAGAGCCGATTTCGCTTTTCTTTATCGATTTTGGTGTTTTCTCTACGCAGACTAAAATGGATATAGTGAGCAGCTTGCCAGAGTCCCTGATATTTGAGATACTCTTGAATCTCTCCACAAAAGATGTTGTCAAGACTAGCTTGTTATCAAGCAGATGGAGAAATCTCTGGCGATTCGTACCTGGTTTGTCCTTGGAGTATAGTTATTTTCGAAAACACGATGCTTTCGTGAGTTTTGTCGATGCGTTTCTTGGTTTTAACAGCGATTCTTGCATGCAAAAATTTAAGTTAAAGTGCAACTGGGATTATGTGTTTAAGGCTGATGTTAAGCGGTGGATCGACACTGTTGCTAAGCGGAGAATTCAGCATCTCCATGTTGCTGACATAGACTGGGAAGACGATGAAATGCAGATACCTCCAACAATTTACACATGCGAGAGCTTAGTGTCCTTAAACATCTATGGCATTACCTTGCCTACTCTCAAGTTTGTTTCTTTACCTTGTCTCAAAGCTATCGTTCTAGATACGGTTAAATTTTCCGGCGATTCGGCTTTAGAAACGCTGATCTTGGGCTGCCCCGTTCTGGAAAGGTTGTATATAGAGAGGAACCTATGTGATTATACGGAGGTTTTACGTGTTCGTTCTCAGTCTCTGTTGAGCTTCACTATTATTGCGTACTCTCACAATACTTACGTTGAAGATCTTGTCGTTGCGATTGATGCTCCGAGACTTAAGTATCTGAGGCTCTGTGATCACCGAACTGCGAGTTTCCTACTTAACAATATGGGTTCCCTTGTAAAAGCCGATATCGACTCTTTGTTTAACTTGCTTTTGAAAATGAAGTTTGATCCTAATGATATCCAAAAGAGAAATATGATTCGTGATTTTCTCGCTGAGATCTCTGGTGTCAAAGATTTGATCATCGTTTCGAGGACTCTCGAGGTAAATCTATGTTCAAATTTACTATTTTGAATGTGCTCCAAGTATGATCTTTTGTTAAACGAAATGTCTATTTTGTTTGTTGTTGTTGTTGTAGGTCATTTATGAGTACTCAAGATGTGAACCATTACCCTTGTTCCGAAACCTATCCTTCTTGCGTGTTGAGTTCGGTGGCTATAGGTGGGAAAATGTTGCCAATTTTTCTTTAGAGATGCTCCAATCTAAAATCTCTTGTAGTGGTGAGGATTGTCTACTATATAAACCTTAAACTTCGTATGTCTTAATTTGCAAATGGTGAAAGTATCTGTGTATTTGTACATGCAGGGATCTATTACCTATGAGGAGAGTGTGGGGATTGATTACATTGTTCCCGAATCTCGGTGTTTCCTGGCATCTCTAGAGTATGTTGAGATAGAAAGGCGATTGGAAGGGGAGGCGATGGAGATGGAGCTAGTGAGTTACTTACTTGAGAACTCACCAGTCCTCAAGAAACTCACTCTATGCTTGGATCGTCCCAAAAAGAAAAAAGAATGTGTGATCCTCAAGGAACTCCTTACCATTCCAAGACTCTCTGTCTCATGCCAAGTTGTTGTTCTCTGATCCTCATTTATCATTGACTATGGACATGCAAGGTTTTCTTTTTGTACTCTAGTTTATGTGAACTCTATGCTTCTTTTTCGTTTGTGGTGATTTTTATATCTTGTAAATATTAAAATCTTATCTATGTTTTGGCTTAAATTAGTAATCATTTCTTTTGACTGAAAGATATATGTTTTTGCTAAATAATAGATTCAGTCTTAGAGTAGGAAAAAAAACTGCAATATTAAATAGGAGAAAAGGTAAGGATTACCCTCAATGTGGACTATGTACTACCATTGTTGAAAGTCCGACTCCAAGAACAAAAAACAAAACATGAGCAATTAATTACGGAAAAAAATAAGTTTGTGTGACCAAGCTTAGAACCTTCCATCTACTAAAGGTGTTTGAAAGCTGTAACCACTATACCAAATCGATATTTAACTAAAATTTTGGTCCTTAGATTTAATAAACACTTTGAAACCTAGAATCACAGGTTTACCCTGCTTTTAGTCCGGTATATCTTTATCACTTGTTGAATTATGTGACTACAGGTGGGAAATGTTACTAGTCTTTCTTGAAAGCTACTGAAATATAAAATCTCTAGTCGTGGTTAGGAATGCTTACTTGAACCATGAACTTCCTTTGTTACAATGCAATGGAGATAGTATTATAAGCTCAACTTGTTTCGTTCTCTCTCAGTTGCACTTTCAGGGATCTACGATATTATCTAGAGGAGAGAATTAATAATTTGTCGAGACCTTGATGTTTCTTCTCATCTCGTGAATATGTTAAGATAGTAGAGGTCACTAAAAAGAATGATATTGTTTTCAACGGTTTCCCAGCGTGATACCTTACAACACGCTTTCATTGAAGCTGAGAGTTGGAAAAATACACACGAAAATGAGTGCAAAGAGGAAGTAGATGAAGCCCCGCAACAAGAACAAACAGGAGATCCCCCTGGACCCTCCAAATCCCTACATGCCAGATGAATGATTATGGGCGGATTAGTGGGCTAGGGTGGTGTCTAAGGAATAACATCGGACAAGACATCGCTGGAAATTCCAGTCTGGAATGCAAGTATGTCAGAGAAGCCTTTCGACCCTACATGTAGTACTGGGTGGGTTACTTTGGGCAATGACATATATTTTTTTTTTTTTTGCTAAATGGTAAATATTTCATTGAAAATGAAAAATGTTGGTGTTACAAAAATGAATGAACAAATTGATTAATCAAAAGATTGGTCCCATGCAGAAAAAAAAAAGAATAAAAAACATGGAAGCAAATTCCATCATTTGACGCCAAAGTTTGAAGCAATGGAATCAAATCAGTAGTGATAAAAAGCCTGTGATCTCAAGGTAAGGCAAAACCGAAATATATGAACAAAATGAGAAAAACAAAAAGAAAAATCTAAAAAGCATATTGGAAGCTGTTTCATCCGGCAGCCGAAGAAATAATTATTCCTCAAAGAAGTCAAAGGAGGCCTGAATAATGACAGTCCTCTACTCAGCTTGATCCAGAAATCAAAACAGACTACACTAACTATCAGAACCAAGAAGCGCTAAATGCTCAAGTCAAGATCTTCCTGATGTCGGTCGGCAAGCTCAAATAGCCTTACTATCTCCTCCGCGAGCAAGAAAAACAAGACACAAACCAGATTAAAAGCAGTCTCAAAGCCGCCACACAGAACAGAGCACCTAAACCAAAACGAGAAGACAAGCAAAACCTTCCATAGGGGAAGAGGAGACGCCGCAGTGGGAGACAAAGCGGGAGACAACTAGAGCAAACACCACACCGAATATCTATTTAATGTATGGAGTTTGTTGACAATTTAATAAATAAAGAAGTTGACCAAAAAAAAAAAGATGAAGAAAAGGCCATTAAAAGAAAGACGATGGAGATGGAATCTACTGAGTTACTTACTTGAAAACTCAACAATCCTCAGTAAACTAACCCTAAGCTTGGATGATTCTAGAAAGAAAGGAAGAAGAGTCTTGACGTCAAAAAAGAACGAAGGAGTCTAATTTTATTAGAGAAATGTGCTAGATTGACTCTAATTTTAGGAAATATTACTAGATTGACTCTCCATTTTTAGTTTTACTAGAATGACTTTAATCTTTATAAGAAAGACCACAAAACCGTGGTTTAGAGTAGATATTCACAGTTATGCCATTTTGATTTATTTTTTCAAAAGAAAATGAGTTAATTACACAGTCATCAATTAAGTTAAAAAAAAGTAAAAAATTTCTCTAAATTCTGGGTAATATCGACAAGAATATGGAAGATTTTCTTTCCAAATTTTTTCAGAAAAATCATCATTTCTCCTAGAATCTCTCTCCACGATTTTTAAAGCTAAAAAACCTAAAAACTATCATTTGAAACCCCGAACACCTCTTTCAGTATTGTTGGTAGAGTTAATGTTGATATTGTATTGGTAGATTTATGTATTGTTGGTTTATTTATATCATGTGTGGTAGACTTGTGGTCGTATTTGGTAGAGTTATATACTATAATTGCTCCCGGGTTTGGTAGATTTTATATTATAGTTGCTTTCGAGTTTGGTAGACATGTTCATGGTAGATTTGTTTTCATATGTGGTGAGCGTTTGGTAGACTTACGAATTCTATATTTGCGTTCTCTCTTTGTGTGTGGTAGATTTATGTATTTATTTGGTAGATTTGTGTTCTATATTTTCTTTTCTTTTATTTGTGGTAGATTTGTGTTCGTTTTGGTAGATTTGTTAATGTTTTGTGGTAGGTATTCTATAGTTGTTGTCGAGTTTGGTAGACATGTGTTTGTTCATGGTAGATTTGTTTTGATGTGTGGTAGATTTGTAAGATTTAAATGTTTTTATTTGTTTGCGGACATGGCTTCAGCTAGCGGCTCAAAGGATTATCCCCAAAGATTGTACCCGGAAGGCAAATCTCCTTTGCTGAAGAAGAGTTGTCATCATAACTGCAAGCTTCATGAGTTCATCATGATGATCAGGGATCACCTTGGGGAAGAAATTTACAACGACATCATGAATAATTCTCAAGTTGGCGTGCTACTGAAGCTTGCATTGACTTCGTTCATATGGAGTGCTAAGACGGTTCAGTATTTTGTTAGCAACCAACTGAAGGTGGATAGGAATCATGAGTTCTGGACTCTTATTGGAGGTCGCCCGGTTAGATTTTCACTCTTAGAGTATGCTGAAATCACGGGGCTAAACTGTGACCCAATTGATCCCAATGACAAGTTGGAAATAGATCACACCGAATTTTGGGCCGAGATTGGAGTGAGAGGTGGGGAAGACCCTAATTGGAATGAGTTAGAAGCTCGGATGAAAACTTGCCAAGCATGGACTTATGAGAAGAAGAAGATGTTGGCGTTGCTTTTCATTTTGCATGTTGGCGTATTGGGACTTCACCGCAACAGTCGAATCTCGTTGGCTTTAGCCAAAACAGTTATGGATGAAGCAGCTTTCGAGAGACAGCCGTGGGGTCGTTATGGATTCCATGAACTAATTTATTCCATCAAGATTGCTAACTTGGGGGGAGCACGATACACTCTCCACGGATGTGTACAGGCAATGCTTGTTTGGGGTTATGAGTGCATCCCTATATTGGCTGAGAGATCAGGGAAAATACGCCCCGATGTAGATGACTCGGTTGTTCCTCTTCTTAGGTGGACTTCATCACGGTGTCGTTATGTTTTCGAGACTCTTTTGGAGATGGATAAGAGTGAAACCGATGACCACAAGGTACTTGTACCTTAGCAGCTATTTAGTTGGTAGAGTTTTTTGAAAATAACTTAGTGTTTGGAAGAGTTATTTATTATACAACAATTTGTGGTAAAAGTTAGCAAATGTGGTAAAAATTTAACATTTGGTAGAGTTT